GTGTTATTCAAAATTCTTTAATTTGTTTTGTTGAAGAGATTCTTACAATGTATTTGATCTTGTACACCATTATATAATCGACAACGAGAACTATTTTCAGTTGATCCAGGAGATCTTTTTGTAAAATTTCTTTGGCGTGCTTTTGCTAAGCCGATAATCGATATAGTGACAGTGACATATGAGATATTTGTAATCCTTGAGAGCAATATGATACTCTTTCGGCTGCAACACATGATTAATCTGTTATTTTAACATTTCTTCAAGAAAAATCTTTTATTATTGTCTCGTAGAGTTAGAATTCTTTACAATTCTCCATAAAAATTCGGGCAAACTTTCAACTGCCACACAGAAAACATCAGCCCCGTTCTCCTATGCGTATTGATGGATTTCGAAGCCTCGCACGACGGAGAAAAAGTAATTCATTAATATAGAATAAAGATTTGTATGTTCTAAGACTCTAAAAAGATTTAAATGTAGTATATTGCTCACAGGCTGTCAGAGAGTTTTTGTAGTACATGAAAGTGCATGTTTGCCATGTTGTTTATTATGTGTTTTGCAAATTTAATAAGTACACATTTTGTACACCGGGAAATATAAAATACTTAGGGTTCATTATTTATCGGTTGGTAGGCTTCTACAGATTATGCTCGGCAACTTTTTGGCAACTTTTTGCATTTGAAGCAACTTTTTATGATATCAGCAACTTCAAGCAACTTCCTCCAGGAAATGCATAATTTTTGGAAATTTCTGGCAATATAGACCGTGTTGCTAATTTTATTTATAGAAAGATAAAGAAATGCTTGATAGTTTTGAATCCCTTGATCCATATTCTCTTCAAGCTCGTTTTCTTGGTCATATGAAAGAATAGCACGACAAGGCTCCAAAATATTTTCCTTATCTTTGGCCATTTGACAAACTTTTTAGCTTACCATTACTTCTACAGTTTGGGAGATCATATGGCAGCGATTTCACACGCGCAGCGATTATTATACGTAATATAAGCTTGAATTTAAGGTAAAATTCAACCACAAACGCTTCGCAAAACGTTTTAAAATGTTCTTTTACTATAGAACTAAACTGCCTTTATCGATATTAAAACTTTGAGTTCGAAATAAAATGATTCCAAATTCTCCCATGCAAATAACTTTGCTTAGTATAATAAAAAGTGTAATCAATAAAGAAACACTGAAATAATACGCTGTGTTGTTTCATATTTATACACAACGATCGCGGCTTTTAAAGTAATTAGAGTAGGTATGTTATTATACGTAATATAAGCTTCAATTTAAGGTAAAATTCAACCACAAACGCTTCGCAAAACGTTTGAAAGTGTTCTTTTAATATAGAACTAAACTGCCTTTATCAATAAACTTTGAGTTCGAAATAAAATTATTCCAAATTCTCCCATGTAAATAACTTTGCTTAGTATAATAAAAAGTGTAATCAATAAAGAAACACTGACTGAAATAAACACAGAGCCTGGGCTACCTGTGCAATATCTTGGTTTTAAATTTTTAACGAAGTGACTATATGACCGGCAGCCGGTCACGGTTTATAAAATACTAAATGGCCGGCAGTCTAGTGACTATTGTTAAAGTTTAATTTTTATAAGATAAACCTATCCCCAACCCCTTTTCTAACCCTAACCCCTAACCCCTAACCCTAACCTTCTGAGAGTTAGAAAAGTCGGGGAAAAAAGTTTAAAAAATTTTAAGAAAAAACAATGCTAAGTCAGACAAAACACATCGCGACCCCGACTGCGCTTAACTTTCCGCACGCAGCGCCCTTGCCGTATGAGCTAACGGCAAGCTCGATAAAAGTTAACGCAAACAAAAGTTTTTATATTCAACTATAGTCACTAGACTGCCGGCCATTTAGTATTTGATAAACCGTGACCGGCTGCAACCTCGTTCCCAGGGTCTTTAGGAAAGACCCTGGTATCGGCTGGTCACGTGCCTCGTCCAAAATTGATTGCCCGAGGGGGGTGTGGTGAAAGTATCAAATTACAAACAGTTAAAAACATAAATTTTGCGAACTACCTTAGCAGTAAGTTCAAAATAGTTGCTAATTTTTGTTTATTTTATTTGCATTGAATTTACAAGAACATTCTTACATTTTTACCAACAGTCAAGTCAAGAAACCAAGCAAATCGTTACTCGCAGTGCTCTCTCGTGTTGTTTTATTCAAATTATACTCTCTTCACACTCGAGCGCGGTTTTATAACAAACGTTTATGGGCCTTTCAGTTGTCACCATTTCTACATATCTAATGTTTTTAAAACAAGCATTAGATTTGTCCTTTTTTGTAAACGTTGCTATGCTTTGCACGTCTTGTTTATAAGATTTTTAAAAGAAACAGTATTGTATTGTATTGTCTTGGACTAGAGAGAGCCCAATATCAGCAAATGTAAACATTTGATACTAGCCAAACAGAGAAATGTCTGTCAGTGATTTATCTTTAAAATTTTGGATTTAGTACATAACTAGGCTATAATCTACTAACAACTAGGCTATAATCTACATCACAAATTTTGAAATTTACAGTGTCAGACGCGCACAGACTGCCATACGAATACACATAAATTTTCGAGTTTTCTACTTCTACTAAGGCTACTAACAGTTTTCATTGTGTCTCAATCATCTGTTTATTTCTAGTTCAATAAGTTCATTTATATTTCTATATTTATTTGATAGTGGCATATATAGTGATACATGTAGACTTAGACTATTTACACACAAGCAATCCTGGATATGATAGAGACGATACAAGCTGTCCATTAAAAAATAACGGTATTCTATTTCACAAAGCAAAAAAATTAAATCTCACTTGTATTATTAAGAATATATATAAAGCAGAAAATTAAAGCTTCTGTCAAAACGAAAGCTGTTTATAAAATTTATAAATGTGGTATAAACACAGTAGTATAAAACAGTAAGACAAATATATTGTCGTTTGACTTATCTTTGATGTATGACTTTGATGTACTGTAATACCGTAGATTTTCAACAGACAGCTACACTTTGACATATACCATGATCGTTGAGATCTTGCAGGAAATTTTATAGTCTTTTGACGGGATTTAAGTTTTGTGATAAGGCCTTTTAATATAATCAACAATCTCGATACAGTTGGCGTCTTGGCGATATTTCGGAAATCAAAAGATCTCGCTATTTCGTTCCAATTCCACATCTCATCAATAAATATATTCTTTTGGTCCGAGTATCAGGATATACTTTAATACTAACAGTTAAATATAAAATATAAACCACATTGGTCGGTCTAGCGATATGAATTTTCTTGTAGGCTTAATATTGCCACGCCGCCCAGGCGTGCTTTCTTTGTAAGTTGAAATCTGATCCAACTTGCTTGAATTGTAACTCGACACTAGATTATAGAGCAGAAAGTCACATCACGATAAATATTAATTTTTTATTGCAGTTCTCTTCACGATTTCTTGTTGCAAATTTAAATTTCATCACACAGAATTGCAAATATTGTTACAAACGCGACAAACACGCTCCTCTCCCACCCTGCCCATAGTATCATTTTAATTTATCACCCAGAATCTGGGTGACACGTGACCAGCCGAAACCAGGGTCTTTCCTTCGCCTCGCGCCCAGCCTAGTCCCTAGGCCTCGCGCCGTTCTAAGAAAGACCCTGGGAACGAGGTTGGACCGGCTGCCGGTCATATAGTCACTTCGAATTTTTAATATTGAGTCGTGAAACGAATATCAGAATTTGTGGCAAAACCATAAAAGAAGTATTAATATCCACAGGTAAGATTTCATATATTCACATTGCATTTTGTAATAACATGTCTAGAATAGATAGCCTGTAATTTAAACCCCTTTAATTACCAAGGATAGAATAGTATATTAATGGCAAGTAAAAGGCAATAAGCAGTCGAAGCGCGAATTCTTCGAATCAAATACAAAGACCAATAATTTCAATGTAGCTGTCCGTGCTCTATATTTTCACAGTTCTTCTTATTTAACCTGCTCACAAGGTCGAGAGAGCACATAGTAAATACCATACAGAGGTCTCACTTATTAATTTCAGCGTTAAGGGATTTTTCCAGTCCGCCATGTTTTTTATACTGTTTATAGCAAGTGCCCTAAAGAGAGCTGTCACCTGTAGACGGCCAGCCAAGCTTGCGAAAATGAAGTTCGATGGCAATCCTTTGTTAATAGAAGCAAGTAACATCGCTAAACACATTCGAATATGCATACTTATAAGTTATAATGGTTTCATTGGTTTGGGGTGTTACCAGGCTTATGCACCAGTCAATGTAAACCCCAAACCGGGAGTGGCGGGGATTTTGACTTAGAGGGGTAGTAAAAGAGCGAAATTGTCCCCGCCCCCAGGGAAAGGGTAATTAATCAATGTCCCTGCATGTCTCTCAACCCCATTTTTGTATATTTCATAGCTCAGCAATAGAAAATCAAATTCATTTATGTTATTGTATTTAAACTTTTCTTGTAACGAAGATTAAAACAACAACACAGGTATATATGTTAACCATTGAATCCATTCCCCCGCTTTTGTCCCCGCATCGTCTACCGAAAGAGAAAATGTCGTCCAAGTCCTCCATCATCGGGGACATATTTACAATCAAAACTGACCACTTTCCCCGCTAAATCCCCGACCCCTCCCCGGTTGGGGGGGATTTACATTGACTGGTGCATTAATTCAGAGTTTAATTAAGTACTAAAATTTAAGCATTTTTTACCACAAGGAAACACGCTTTGTTTATATGATGTTGAAATATATTGAAATCTACAAAGTTCTTTTTCCCTGTTGCTATGCAACAAATAGACCATTCTCATTGTCTGCGACTAATTAGTCTCACCCGCCCATTGGTTAAGAACACCGGAAATTGCATAGTGCGATACAGCTGCATGAAGTGTAAACAAAGACATAATTCTTGACAAAATATGGAGATTTAAAGCCTATAAGTGTGATTTTTTAAACTTATATTTCCGCTTTATTGCTGCCGAAGGCAGCACTCCTAATCTTGACATGAAGGTTTCTCCAGAGTTCACTCGACCCAGTCTTTTGCGCCGATCTATGTATTGTCGAGATCTTGATCTTGTGTCTGTTAAGATGTCGTAAATTCGGGGGGGGGGATGGACGGGGGGAGTGCGAGAAAAATATTAAATTGCGCGTGCACATATTTATATGGCTATATGCAAATTTGACTTGATGCAAAATATACGAACATTTCCCGAAGAAACCAGGTAAGTATGGCTTTATTTCTTTGTGCTAATATCCATCAAGCCGTGAACTGTTTAGCGTTCATTCTGGAGGCAAGCAATGTGTTTTTATGTCATGAGTTTAATACGGCACTTCTTACTGCCCGAAATATTCCCATTGTCCGCATGGTTGTTTAGAACATTTGATAATGTCTTATAAATACAAGGAGACAAGATGTACTTAAGAGCTCTGAAGTATTTCATGAATTTACTGGCAGTGTATAATAGCCCACCAGATCTATTCATCAATAATGCCTTATTTTAATACGAGTCACAATGTACTCAGCTTTAATATTTGTTTTTGTGTGCCAAGACGATGAGTATAGTGTTCATTTCTAGATGTTTATATAGTTTTAATAACAACAAACGCGGAATGTTGTTAAATCAGGCTTACTGTGATAAGATCCCTAGAGCAACCCAGTGTGGATTGTTCTCTGCACATATTGACTTTATACCAGCAATATGATTACATGTAATAGTATGTCAACTGATTTTTGTATAAGATATGACTGTGTGTTTATTGTTAGCATAATATGAAATAATCCTACCAGCCTACATTCATATATGTAATATATTCATCTGGCTGTGTCACTACATTTCACAGTAATGCTCACAATTAGAAATGTCAACAAATCTGAGATATTGTCTCCCCATCAGCATATTGTTCAGTTGTTCTGTGATATGGGCAGCCTTGAAGGTGGCATTAAAACAATAATTGGGACAAACCCCGACTTAGGGCCTGTTTACATGGAGGCGAGTTACCCGGCAAGGCGAGTTACTCGCCCAGGTGGGACAAACAAGCGCTCTGTTTATATGGGACCGAGTTACTTGGCATTTGTCACATGATTGCCGCATGACGCCGAAATGGTGCCAAAACAGAAAAAGGATTTAAATCGTTTGAAATGCTAAAAAACATTACAAAATATAGTGAAAGTATAAGAATAAGCGCCGAGCAATTCAGGAAAACTTATCTATCGATTCGTATGTATTTTTGAGCTATTATATTTCAATGGCAAAGCACATACATTCTATCTCGGGTGGCCGAGTTACCCGGGCAAAGTGTTTACATGGAAAATATTCATCTGGCCTAGGCGAGATCCTGCCTCTTTCTGCTGGGAACTTGCCAAGGCGAGTTACTTGGCTGCATCATGTAAACAGTCACCCGCGATTACTATTAGTTTCTATAATAGCTGGGATCTCGCCGTTGCCGAGTAACTTGCCTTGCCGGGTAACTCGCCTCCATGTAAACAGGCCCTTAGTATTTTTATATAAACATTGTACAGTATTCAGTGGCAAGCTAGCCATGGCAACTGGCCATATGCATGCTATACTGATAGACCTGCATCTATTTGAATAATGCAAATCATTAAAAACTTGCATAGCATGACCTGTTGCTATGGCTAGCTTCACCACTGACAGTATTATAATTATACAACAGCAAGACGTTATAAGCATTGAAGATATTCATATAAAACCGCCCATGCCAAGAAAGTAGAATTAGAACTTTCAGCCACCCTTCGACTTTGTGCAAGATGTTTGATATTCAAATTGCACTTTTCCTACCTCCTGAACAGGCGTCTTAAGGGCTGTTTGCATGATGGAAGAAGGGATGATTTTGATGTATTAAAATATTAGTCACTAGGCTAAACGAACGCTCAAATGTAGAGAAGTAGTTCAAATGTAGAGAAGATCTTGTGGTTCAAGAAGGTTATATTATGCTTGAACAGGCAACCTTTCATTTACAGTTAACTATACCATAATCCATCTCTAGAAAATAGTGAAATTTTTTGCTGAATCATGCATCGTGACTTACAGTATTTAAGCACATCAAAATCATCCTGCCTCATATCTCCTGGCAAAGCGGGATCGTATAAACAGCCCCTTATTCAGCACATTGTCCATGCTGCCTTTAATCAAGGGTCTTAATGGGGGTCTTTGGGTGTCAGTTGTCAGCTAAAATTTAAGCCAGTTGTCAGTTGTCAGTTGTCAGTGCGATATATTGCAAGCTGTCAGTAGTCAGTTATTTTGTCAGTTGTCAGTCAAAAATTCAGGCAAATGTCTGTAGTCAGTTAACCCCATTCAGACCCTCTTAATTAATCCCTTGGGGGTGAGGCAGCATTTTCCTTGCGATAGTAACTTCTAGTTAATACATATTTATACTTACTCCGAGCTTTAAGGTTTCTTACATCCTTGGCCATCACATATAGGAGTGCAACGTAGCCTCTCCGCAGGCATCTCGTAGTTCACGTACTTCAGAAAGTCTGTGAGATGCCTGCCAAAACCCAACATGGTTGAGCCGTTCTGCGCATCTTGCTTGCGCAGCGATTTCGTCTCTAGGGTATGCATGTGGGGAGGATTTGTCATCCAAGATGGCGGATTGCATGTAGTGAAGAATCATGAGAATTAGTGAATTTATATTAATACGCTTGCTAAAGGCGGCTAAACGATTAAGAATACAGCTTTTGTGGACAATTGAAAGAATCTTAACCCGGAAATTAAAATTTTCATCAAATAATTTACATGTTGTCAGTTGAGGGACTGGTCATAAAGTAAAAGAGGGGGTGGGCATGGAAAAATAGGGGGGGTGGGTCACTATTTTTCAGCACGGTTGAAGGGGTGGGTCATCAAAAGTTAAGTGGAATCAAAAGTGTGGGTCATGTAAAAACATGCAGAATTTTTTTCAAGGGCATGTGTATTAAAATTCATATTATAAAAATAGAAATAAAATGTATCAGGATCCATGTGTAAAATTTATACTGCAAACGTTAACCTCAAACTTAAAAGCTGAATTTACTGTTTTGGCTAATACGTTAGTAGTGACTAACTAATTTTCTGATAATCATTATTGCTAAATGTCACAAGCTTTGTGCAGGATGTTTATTATGTAACAAAATTAGTGTAATTTCTACAAGAGCGTAGTTAAATTACAATCCTCGTTAGCGGTTTGGTGTTAGCTGTAAATGTCAAACTAAAGGTCTCTAATTATATGAGAAAGATACTGCACAATGCAGTATGCATGGGAAGTTCCATGCAAAGAAAGACCTTTCTGTATTTAATTCAGGGCCTCTTTTAACATATAGACTGGGGAGGACATGTCCCCCCCCAGCCCTCTTACTTATCCCTCCAGTCTGCAATTTTGTGCCCCCCCCCTCCCGTGAGGTCCCTAAGAACTACCTGCAGTAGGTGGTCAACCAGCAATTATGTATCAAAGTGAGAGAACGATGTTAAGTTGTTAACATTTCAGAATTTTACCATCATCTGCAGGCCTGTAACTAGCTATGAGTCCACCGAACTAAACATCGCCAGAAACCTAAACCATGACTGAAATAATTTGCTTGTGGAACAGGGCATGAAATGGCATTTTAGGACGAAATTCTAGTTTCGATTTTCCAAGCAAAGATACTCCAAAGAGACCACCCAATCTTGCTCTTCAGTGACACTGAGAAGACAAATGCGTTGATTTCAAGTACCCCAATACATGTAATACAGTACTGTAGAATTTGAAGTGTGGTGAATGATAATACTATACCACACACATTTTAATTACCGCATCATCACACCATGTTGCCTTATTGGGACTGGATTACATTTGGAAGACTGTGAAATTGCAGTAATTGTGTCACTGTTTATAAGGTTAATTTCTTGTAGGAAAACTCCTCAAAATGTGGGAAATAGCTTATCTGAGCTTCAAGAAATCCAAAATTTTTGTGGGGTATGCCCCCAGAACCCTCTAGAAGCTCGCACCTTGGGCGGTCGACTCGGTTGTCTCAAAATCCTAGTTACGGCCTGATCTGCTGCCCTATGATGTATACTTATAAGTTAAACCATGCATATATATGCTGGTAGCTGCAGTGATACAGACTGGCCAACTGGAACTTCTCCAGCCCCCCGTTAAATATGTCCCCTCCAGTTACACATCCTTAAAAGAGGCCCTGAATTTTATTGCGCCATTTGAATAGCTATTGAGTATTGTAACACAGAATTATTTGGCAACAGAAAAATAGAACACTGGTATCTTTCGCATTTCTGAAAGGGTAGCCTGCGTGCAGGCCCAAGGGAACTGATAGTGGGCCTGCAACCATCGCCCGGTATTTTGTAATACGCCCCTTTTCATAACACGCCCCATTCGCGCGTCAATTGTCAAAAAAGAACCAATGACAGCACCCAAATATTAACAAACAAACTCGCATTAAAATGTTGCGGGGTTTTCTCTGCTTATTCAGAACACTAATAAACAATGTGTAAATGGCTGCGTTTTAACTCCAAAAAAACAAGCAACGCAGTCAGTAATTGCCAAATTTGCAAGTGCTCATTTTCAACTAAAATCGGAACAGGCAAATTAGGACGAATTTCAACAGAAAACCAGTCTCAAACTTCAAATCATGAGGGAAGTCGTGCGACCACATTAGGATTTATATTATGTGTGCTTCGCTGTCGCCATTGGCATTGTTATAAATAAATTGTCTCACTCATCAGATCGTGTGTGCAATTCTTGTTGGCGGCGGAAAGTACGAAATTTATTTCATTTATTTCATTTGGTAAAGAACTCTACAAAAGAAGAGAGCGTTCCGAGTCCAGATCGTTTCGTTTCAAACGGCAATTTAATACCGCCTTCTGTTTCGCTCTCTCTGCGAAGCCTTGTAAATCGCAAAGTGTTTCGAATAGGCTTACAGTCCTTACATGCAACTGCATCTCAACATCAACCAAAAGATAATTTTCTTGAGGAAGTGAGAACACATAACGTATCAACTGAAGTCTGTTTGAAATTAATGAAACTCAAGTAAAGGTTACTATAGTTTACCCCAGTCGTAATTTGCTATTCCAACACCTCACGACAAGCAATCCCCATTGGCATAACGGCAAAAACATGTATTCCTTCAAGTAAACAATAAACAGTCTGTTCTTGTTCCATTTGTAATCGACAAGTAATCAATTTTCAAATTTTAAGCTTATCGAGAGCCTTTGTCTATGCCTTTGTGATGAATCACTGTTCCCTTGGGCCTGCACGCTAGGTTAATTAATTACCGATCGCCTCAGCTAGCCAATGGGAATTTAGCCGGCGGTTCGGCCGGCGAAAATCGAAAACATGGGGTGATGGTTGCAGGCCCACTATCAGTTCCCTTGGGCCTGCACGCAGGCTACTGAAAGGGTGGGTCATAATTTTTGGTGGCCGGACATTTTGCCGAAAGACACTTTGCCGAAAGACATTTTGCCGAAAGACATTTTGCCGAACGGACATTTTGCCGACGGACCTTTTGCCGAACGGACGTTTTGCCGAACGGACATTTTGCCGAATGTACATTTTGCCGAACGGACAGTTTGGCGAACGGACATTTTGCCGAAAATAGAGATTTCTTCTGAACTTTAAAGGTTCGCTTACACGGCCAAAGTCTCTGTGATTAAAGTCATTAATTGTCGATTTTGATGACAGAAACTTTGATAATGAAGTATAGTTTCGTTTTATATTCTTTCAAGTTTTTGACAAGTTTACCGAAAATTCGCTATAGAAAGAATAACATCATTCAACATCATTCATGAATGTGATTTCCCCGAGAACTGTGAATGTATTCCATGATTCTCGAAGTGAAATTCGCTTACGTCGTCTTTATATAGTTTACGCTTGTTTGTTTACGATCTGACGTCAAAACACGTTCCTAACAAATGAGTCATCCGCTGCACAAACAAGCTACCAATAGTCAATATGGTTATGCACTGCTAACAACCATTACGCACTGCTAATGACCATTATGCACTGCTAATGACCATATAATGGTTATTTTACACAATGGTTGAGAATTACACAGTTGAGAAATGAGTCACAGTCCCAAACATTTTGACGAAATAACATCTTTATTTTCGGCAAGTTGTCCTTTCGGCAAACTGTCCGTTCGGCAAAATGTCCGTTCGGCAAAATGTCCGTTCGGCAAAACGTCCGTTCGGCAAAATGACCGTCGGCAAAATGTCCGTTTGGCAAAATGTCTTTCGGCAAAGTGTCTTTCGGCAAAATGTCCGGGTACCATAATTTTTCGGCACCAATTTAAGGGTGGGCCACAAATTTTCGTGCAGCTATTAAGGGGTGGGCTACCAAAAGTGCAGACACCAAATATATGATTTTCCCAGTCCACCCCCCCCCC